GGATCAGGACAGAGTTTTGGCTCCCACCATGAACCAGGGTGCTGCTCCCGAGCTGAAAGCAGAGCAGGAGAGGTCCCGGCGGAGCTGCTCGGGCAGCTCCGAGCATTCCCACCACGTGTGTCACGCTTCCCTGGATAACCACGGCGCTGGGACAAACAAAACAAAGCCCCCAGAGCCCCCCTCCCTCCCTCCATCCCTCCATCCCTGCCAGAGCAGCCCCAGCCTGGCAGCCAGGCCAGGCCCTTGCATGAGTGAATGGCTCAGCCAGCTGGAGATGGAGCAATTTGGGTCAAATCTGCCCCTGGCCCGGTGCCACGGCCTTATCTCGCGTTCCACTTGCTCCCCCCCTCAGCTCGGGGCTTGCCCTGAGGTTGTTTTGAGTGCAGGGTGAAGATTTTTGGGGCTGGAGGCGGTACCTGCTCAGGGTTCTTGTGCTGGTTTGTTATGAGGTCATGTCTTTATTCCTGGCTAATTTTTCTTGCAGCTGAACGCAAAGGACAGCAAATGGAATTAGCAAAGAGCTCCGCCGAGCTATTAATGTTCCCCGCGGGGGCACGGGGGGAATTTAGGCACTCAACAAGTGCATAAACGGGGCCATAAAAACGTGCCCAGGGTGTTGCAGCTCCGAGGGGCTCTGGGGGCTGCCCACCCCCCTGCAGGGACGGGCTGGGAGCAGCTCCAGCTCCCCAGACCCAGGGGATTTTCCTCCAGGATTACATCAGTAGCAGGAGGATGCTGAGTGAACTGTCTGGGAATCTCGAAGGCGAGGGGATTTTTTTTTTTTTTTTAATAATTTTTTTTCCCCTCCCCGCTCTCCTTGTGATTATGTAGAAGATAAAATATGTTCTCAGGGATGTGCTGCAGAAAGGGACATCCTGGTTTTCCAGGATCTGGGAATGGCAGCTCGGTGTGGGGCTGGCCTGGGGTTACTCCCTGTCCCTGCCCACTCGGTGATTGTGCTAAATGGGGTCAAAAATGCCCTTTTTGGGTTCCCTGAGTCCCTGTGCCCTCCCGGGGGTCCTGACCCCTCAGGGATTGTCC